TTCTGCATTATTTTTGTCGCAATGTTAGGAAGATGTATTTTTTCATGTAGTTGTTCGATGTTGAGTTCCTTTCTGTCTTTAATGTTTAGGATTATGCGTCGTGTCGTATTGAGGACGGCTTCTAGTCTGGACCAGTCTTTTTTCCTTAAGACTATGGATTCTAGGCTGTATGTGAGATGAGGAATTATTAGTGTGTTGATTAGTTTTGTTTTTGTTGATAGGTTGAGCTTTTTGCTTTTTAAGATGGGTGATATTTTGATTAGAGCATTCTTTGATTTGGCTATGTTGTGTGTGATTGTATCATCTGCTGATCCTTTGTGATTTAGTATTGAGCCGAGATAGAGAAAGTTAGTGACTTCTTCAATTTGTTTGTTTTCAATGGTTATTGGAGTTAGGTTATCATGTTTGTTTATTATCATGTATTTTGTTTTTGATGTGGAGATTTCCATGTTTAGCATTCGAAGGTATTTTTGTAGGGAGTTTAATGATTTGATTGCTTCATCAGTGTCATTGGCTAATATGCATAGATCATCGGCATATTCTAGGTGTTTGATTGTCCAGGGTTCATTGTTCTCATTAAGCAGTTCAACCCCTTTTAAAGTGTGGTCGATTGTATGTTCCAGAATTTGTTTGAAGACGAGATTAAATAGGGTTGGGCCTTCTTTGCTTCCTTGCTTTACTCCTCTGTACATGGTGAAGTTTAGTTTTGTCTTTGCTAGGAAGCCTTTTGGATTATCTAATAGTTTATTGATGCATAAGTTTATGTTTCGAGAATGGCATGTTTTTGCAAGTGCGTTCTGAATTAGTGATTTTGGTAAGGTGTCGAAGGCTTTCGTGAGGTCTACGAAGATGATGATTAGCGTTTTCTTTGAATCAAGAGCGCATTGGATTATATGTCTGATTGTAGTTATTGCATGACTGGTAGTTAAGTGTTTTCTGAAGCCAAATTGCGTTGGTGGGATTTGATTATCTGTTTGTTGCACCAGTCTGTTACAAATCATTCCGGAGAATATTTTGCTTAGTGTGTCTAGTAGAAAGATGCTTCTGTAGTTGTTTGGACCAGATTTCAATCCTTTGTTTTTGTATATGCTTATGACATTAGCGTTCAACCAGTGGTTTGGGATTTCGTTTGGGTTTGTCCAAAATTTGTTCATGATGTTTAGTAGGATGTATTGTAGTTTCTCTCCGCCCTGTTTGATCATCTCGTTGGTTATGCCGTTGTTGCCGGGAGTTTTGTTATTTTTGAGATTTTTGATAACTATGTCGAGTTCAGGTTTTGTTAGGAGAGGTTCATTGAATTGATTCACATTCGAGGATTCTAGGTTTGCTGTGGTTGTTGATTGAAATAGGCTTTGGTAGTGTTGTTGAAGTGTTTTGTTGTTTATTTGGTTTCTGCGCTGTTTGTATGTTTGGTTTCTTATTGTAGCTAATATATCGTCAAGCATTTTATATGCGGAGTGTAGATCATTTTGTTCAAAGAAGGTATTCAGCTCCTCGGTTTTCTTTTGAATGTATTCTTCTTTGGTTGTTTTTATTTTATGTTTTACTTGTTTGTTTGCTTGGTTATATTTGTCTCTGTTTTCGGTGGTTGGATTGTTTAGCCATTGGAGTCTTAGCTGTTTTCTGTGTTTGAGCTCCTCTTTTAGGTCCTCGCTGATTTGCGTTTGCCATCTTTTTATTGTTGACTTTCGAGGGTTTGCAGCTAATGTTGCAGCACATATGATGGATTTTTCTATTTGTGTCAGGTCATTTGTCTCATTTATTAGATTTGTTAGTATTGTTGGGTATTCCGAGGACAAGGAGTGAATGGCATTTCGTGAGTTATTTTGTGTGCATGTTTTGTGCGTGTGTTTGTGTTTCTTTTTTGATTTTTTATGTTGGAGTTTGATTATTGTGGTGAGCATGAAATGATCTGAGTTGGCTTCCATTGAACGTGAGTTGTGTACGTCGCATATTGTGATGTTTGAATTGGGTTTATTATCTGAGAGAATTAGGTCAATGGTGTGAGCATCATTTGTGTTAGGGTGCATCCACGTGATGGATTTGTTATGTGATTTTTGAATAATATTGTCCGACCGGCCATTTTTTTAAAAAAAAAATTTTCCAACCCCAAATTACAATATTTATCATCCCGTGTTTCGTCCAATGAAATGGCTAGTTTCGAAAACTAGATTTAATTGGTTAGTTATGTCTTGAAAATTGTTATAAATTATCAGTACTTGTCGACGAAGCACAATTTCAATCGTCATTATGGAGCAGAGTAACGTGCCGAGTACAAGCGCTGGTGTTTCTCACGTAACGGAAATGGAGGAAGCATTAAAGACCACTATCACAAATTCTGAAAGATCGATGGGGAGTTTGAAACTGAGACCGCTGCTGATTTCCGGTACCGCTGCTGATTTCCGGTACCGCTGCATTCCACATAAAGAATTTTGCTTACCAATCTGATGGGAAATGTCTGACCGCTCAAGATGTCTGCAATATGCGGTACAAAGTGTTC